ATCCGGATCGGGTCCAGTCGGGTTTACATAGACCTAGAACCAGACAGGAATAACATTTGGGGTTCCGGATCCAACCTACTTGGTCCAATTTTTCAGACCCATACCTAGATCCAGGTCGGGTCTACCCATTATCAGGTCCGGGTCTACTGCCACCCCTATCAGGCAACCAAGTTAAAGAAAAACATATCCGTATACCAAGCTGAATAAAATATACGTTGCAAAGAAATTAAAAAAATAGTTGGACTTTTGCATTTTAGTTTAATATAAAAATAACATAAAAATTGAAGGGCAAGTGTGGTAGTAATACTGAAAGTAAAAATAAAGTAAATTCTCATGTAAATCATACATGGGTGCCGTTTGTATAGAGCCTAGGCTCTAAACAATCAAATTAGAGCCTATCTTCAAATGATGTCGATAAATGTGGTTTCAATATTATAAATCTTTGCGATAGCCTTAAATTATATTTTTGTATTTATTATAAAGTTTAAAGCTTCAAAAATAGCATAGATCGATAGATCTTTGAAAAGTTGAAAATCTTGAAATTGACGGTCTAAAAATGCGATACATAATACCCTATTTCCAAAACTTGAAATCTATTTTTTTCTCATGTCCATGCATCTTGGTGTCGAAATGATTAATTTGAAGATATTTGGACATCAAAACAACTTCTTTTAGTGAAATTTTTGAGGTGGGCTCTAATTTGATTGTTTAGAGCCTCGGCTCTATATAAACTTTTCCCGTCATATAACAAAGAAATATTTTGTATCCATTTACCAATTTGAACGTCCTGCCATTAGCTAGTAAAAATAATTTAGGAGAAACGGAATCCGGGCCTAATACTTTAGCCCTTAGAAAATTTTGAAGAAATCAAGTTTATCAATAATTCAATATAGGCAAACAAGAGGGATTCAAAATCTTCCGTGGGTTCCCTTTCTTTTAATTTTAAAGGATATTTAAGGTAAACTCCCCATACGGGATAATATAATATTAACAACTATCTAAAATACAAAAATTAATGATAAAATGATTTGTTAAGGATAAATTTATAAAATATATAATTGCACCTTATTAAGTTTTTACTAAATATATGGTCACTAAGTAAGAACACATATGCAATCATCACTAAAGATATGGTTGTGCCTTATTAAAAATTAGTTTTCTTCTTCTTCACTCTCTTTACCTTCTATCAAGGTGAGCGAACTTGTTATGGACAATTGGGTTTTTGAAAGACCAAACACAAATTCGGTTTTTGAATAATTAAATTTAGCTAATTTTCAAATTTTGAATAACTGAATAAGCATATTTCTCAATTTTTGAAAACCCAATGTTTTAAACATTTTGGTTTTTTAAAATTCGAAAATAGGCAGTTCTGTCTTGTTAAAAAAACATGTTATGACGTTGAAAGACAATTATAGATAAAATAATGAAAACTTGAAAGCAATAACATTAAATATTACTGATATATACATCTTTTTCTTAAATTTCTAGTAGCATGTACTCTCAAAAATTCTACAAAAATACCCAATCATTGGAGAATTAGGAGCCACAAAACCCAAGCCCCTTTTTTTTTTTTTCCTTTTTTCTTTTTTGCCTTTTTTGAGTAGCTTAGTAGCAAGAATCGAACTTGAGATATAGCGTCGTTAAACATCAGCTCCTAACGGCTTGAAATTCCTAAAAAAAGCCCGGACATCATTACTATATTATGCATCATGAAATCTTTACATTCATTGTATTGCTTTTTATAGGATAAACTTGGTCCTCTCACATTAACAAAGCCAAGGTCATGTTCATCGTAATAAGAAAATAATCAGGACATATTTTACCCAAAATTAAAATAGATAAGTAATCTCCTATTGAAGTATCAATGATTTTTTCCAAATAAGTATCAATTACATTAGCTAATTAATGAAAAAATAACAATGATGAAAGATGACCTTAAAACACTTATTTCATTGCAAAGCTACAAAGCTGCCCCTGAGACACAAAATCCTATAACAACTCTTTACAGTTCCAAATGAAGTAAAAGGAGAACCTTTTCTTTTCTTTTTTTTGATAAATAAAACCAGTAAAATGTTCACAAGCTTAACAGCTCCATGATCCACAACTCTTTATAGCTCCAAGCATTTTCCAGTTTTTCGACACTTTTTCTTTTCTTACCCTCGGGATAATCTCCGTTGTTTCTTCCAATCTCCCCATTCAATTGGAAGAATGAACAACCGAAATACAAATGCAAAAGGCATATTTTATATCTCCAATGTAAAGCAAGAAATTAAATTAAAAAAAAAAACAGAGAGGAAGATGGTGATTTCCCTCACCACATAACCCGAGAAGCAGCATGGTTAGAGGTCTTCAATCAACTCCAAGTTCAGGCAGGCAGGGTAATTCTTCTATGCAACTTGTAGAAAATCCAGCAAATGGGGCATTTTGATAATTTTCAGTGCTCACGTGAATGACACGTATGATCCTATTCAGAAATTGAGGAGCTGGGATCCCCACTTTTCAGACGTTTGGCTGGGGGGTATTGGGACCCACTGTCAGATTGGGTATTCACATGGGGCTCTTCCAAAGTGATTGTGGCATTGTTCCTCTCTACTGACTCTTTTGCAGAGAAATCAGTTTTAGACAGAGAAAGAGTTGAATCAGAAGGGACCGATGGGTCGCTTTCTGAGGCAATCTGTGCCTTGAGCTTGTCAACCCCCCCCTTGCTTTGCTTCTCAAACATCATCTGAAGGTACCGACCTTGCTCTTCAATTCGTAACTGAAGATTTCGCTGAATCTGCAACATTCATATGAAAAAAAATTTATAGAATGCTGACAAAACAATCTAAACATTCATAACTAATAAATTGATTGATTAACTAAATTGATAATCTAATATTTCATTTATAATTTATGAAATAATATAAAGTAGTCCCAGAGTTTGATAGCAGGAGGTCTAAGGGTTCAATCCTATGTCTCCTCATAAACAAACTAAGCAGACCTACCTTATTTTTCAAAATAATCAGCTCCCACAAATTGAATAATTTAGTGTGAAGTAACTAAGAAAAGTTTCTCAAATTATCAACATAACATGATCGGAGCCTAGAAGACTACAGTTTTTAAAACTAATTCATGTGGTAGCATTCATATCCATCTTAGCTATCAGACCCAACGAAGAAGGAATGGAGCAACCGAGCACTTGATAATTAGGAAGAAAATAAGAAACAGGAAGCAACCATAATCAATAAGCTCAAGATGGATACCAAAGACAGTCCAAGAAAAATTGGTTTGACTATTCAATAATTGTAAAAGGCCGAAGGCATAAAGTTCACTCTTCTGCAGTACTTATCAAACTACAAACACGCACACACATGTCTGTATTTACCAAATTGGTGTGAGTCGACACGGACTTGCTGGCCCGTCAAGCCTGGTACATCCCCCAACTCAGGGGGTATATATAACTAATTTATAATTATAATCAACTTATAATTGATTTAATCTTTGGCCAATCAATCATAATTGATTTATAATTAATTTTGTATGTACTTTTTTATGTTTTTATAATTTATAGTATTTTTTCTGATTCACCCATTTATTATCAAATTTTCTGAGAAAATGATCTGTAGTTATGCTCGATCCTTTCTATTTTTTAGCATTTTTAACAACTTTTATTAGCTGACCCAAATAGTTGGGATAAGGCTCGGATGATATTGATGATGATTTTTCTCATCTTTTATATACTTTCTTCTTTTGTAACATTATATACTTTTTAGGTCCTCTAATAATAAAAACCTTCCAACATGATTCTTTTAAGAAATTAAAGTTAGACCTCTCAACATTTTGTTTCTGATTCTGATTCTACCACTCCACATGGGGCCATTTTAGAGGGCCAAAGGAAAGAGCTGCCCATGCCCCTCTTTCAAAACCAAATTTTTGGGACTCAGAAAGAAAATACAACTCCTAAAATCAACTGGTGATAGCCCCAAAGAGAGAATGTAAGGGCATAGAATGTACTATTTAAGGCATCTTTTGTTTTTTAATGTTACTATTTCAGGCATCCTTAAGAAAAGGAAAAGGGCTTGATCCAAGATGATTTCAACCACGGTATGCAGGGCTCAATTTACCTGAAACGCCACACAATGAAATGATCAGCAGTACGATGAGGGCTCTCGCCCATTTTACCAGCGATAATCCTCTCCTTCTCTCAGCATCTTCCTCTCTCTAGCTCTAAAAGCCCCTTTTAAACTCTCTCTCTCTCTCTGTATGTATAAAATCCCCTATGGACTGAGCTGGCTGAGTCTCTGCTTCTGTCAACTCAATCATTTTTCTCCCTTCTCTTTCTTCCTGCTATTCCCCCTGTCAACTCTCTTTCTTGCTTCTCTCTTCTCTCTCTTCCATCATTCCCACCCTCTTTCTTTCTGGCTTCCCATCTCTTTTTCCCACTTTATTTGGTTCTCTCCTCTTTCCCTCTCTCGTGTTTTGTTATTCTTGGCACATGGCCGAATGAGTGGATCCCATGGTTCTGTACAAACACTAACTCCCCAGTCAGTAAAGTTACTGGTAGCAGGTGGTTTCTGGCGGTAGTCTTTCCTTGAATTCTATCTTTTCTTTGATTTCAGTTGTAGAGAGAGTGGGAGACGGAAAGAATGAGGCTGGATTTTTAGAGAGAATATCAGAGAAAGGAAGAATAGATTGGGCTTCTAGAGAGAGAACATATGAGATGAGAAACGCTTGGTTTTTGAGCGAGAGAACGTGAAAGAACAATTTGGGTCGGGGTTTAGTGAGGGGGGAGGGAAGAAAAAATTGGAATGAAAGGAGAGATGCGGGAGAAGGGGTCCCTTGTATTTTGTCTTTAAATGCAGTAAAAATTGGACTATTGTCCCTCTTGAAAGGCTGCACGTGGAATGGGAGTCAAAAGCAAAATGTTGAGAGGTCTAATTTCTTGAAGACAACATGTCTTGCAAGGTTTTTTTTTGTGAAAAGCCCTACTTTTACCATTTTTTTTGGTTTTTTCCTACTATCAAATATTCAGGATTCTCCCAAATTTCTTTTGGTTTTTTTGGATCTTCAGGAAGCTCAGCACAGGCTTAGGCAAGTCAACTCGGACTCGCCCAAGTAACTCGGACCACCAAGGGCCCAACTTCTGCGCTGAGCCGCATTTCATGTACTTGTATATATCTGTCACAAGGTCTTTTATGTTTTCTTTGCTTGTACATGATAATCATTTGTATATCATTAGGGAGTCAAGGGCATTCCATCGTATTCTTTGCACAGATGTGCTTGATATTTTGTTTATATAAAAGAGACGTGAGTTATTATTCTCCTATCGATCAAAAATAAAAATTGAGTTGTAATACTCTTTAGTTTTTGTAAATAACATACACACCTCCAAGATTCCATTTCCATGGTATTAAATCAAGGTTAAAACTCTAGGTTTACAACCCTAATTTGCAATAAATATGAATATGTAATTAGAACTTAATGAAACTTGGGAGCAAGAGTGAGATCATCAGTTTACTATTTTTCTGAATCTCAATTTTGTAACCGAATTTTTTTCACTGCATGAACAGTGCTGACAGAATAGGACTTTTGATGCATAGAATCCCATACTTCTTTATTTTTTGTAAATAACATACACACCCTAAATGAGAGTCTAGGAGAACACTTTTCAGTTCTCCAAAATTCTATTTCCATGGTATTAAATCAAGGTTAAAACTCTAGATTTACAACCCTAATTTACAAGAAATATGAATATATATAAGGTTGGAACTTAATGAAACTCGGGAGTTAGATTGAGATCATTAGATTACTGTTTTTCTGAATATCAATTTTTTAACCTGGTTTTTTTCACTGCATGGACAGTGCTGACAGAACAGGACTTTTGATGCATAGAATCCCATATTCATGAGAGGAGTCCTCAAATACTTCCTGAAGGACCAAGCCTCCACCCTCTTGCCTCCCCTAACAACTAAGATCTCAATGCATGGGTGGATTCAACATGAAATCCATCAAGCAAGATTATCTTCAATGGTCCTATGCAGTTTGGCTATATCCTAAAGGCAAGAATTTTAGGGGTTATTTGAACAGGTCAACAATAGACATGATTCCATCAAATCCCCTATATTCTTAGTGATTCGGCACTAATTAGTTATTTTTTAAGGTTATGGAACACTATGAAGTATGAACCCCAAGGCAAAACGATGCAGATGAGGATTACAGACTCTACTCATACAGCATGAAAACACCATGTAACTATTTACAGCTAGGCTAATGATGCTATAATATTCCATTTGAGCAAGTCATGGAAATCTCTAATGTGGTCATCTCTAAATCACCACACGTTATCAATCTGTACTGCTAATATTAAAGTTCTTATATGTTCTATCTTTGAGTCATCACCATGCAATAAGGTCCTCGAGTTTGTTTGATTTAATAACAGCCTTTCGATTTTTTTTATCTACATTATGCCCTAACTAATGAGGTTTCCTTAGCCTTTAGATCATTCTATCTACAGTTGAGGCCTAACCAATAAGGCCTCCTTACATACATGAGATTAAGATGAAGTCCCAATTTTCCTGAACTCCTAGGAATGAGTAGTGCATCGCCTGCCTAATTTCTTTGGAAAATAATTAAATAACATTAGATATTAAAAAATGACTTAAATTCCCAATTATTTGGACTCCTAATAAATAAGGTTTTTTTTTGGCATATGTGATGATTTAAATTTCTCATTTATATGGGCTCCACTTCATTTATTTTCGAACAAATAAAAAATATTATGCCTACTAAAAAAAGCAATATTTGACAAATAATATACATTTTGAATTATTACGCCTGTGCACCACACAGGCAGTGGACTAATATCATCTATGATGTTTCAAAGAAACCATAGGCAGCACAAGGGCTGCCCACTAAGTGTCTCCATATCTGGAATTCCTAGGTAGTAGATAAAATTTTAAAATAACAACTTCCAAAATGCATAAACAGATGTGAATGCTTGTGCTCACAAACTGACATAAACAGAACGATGGATAAATTTCCCAACGTCATAGTACTAACTAAAATAAAAATGTACCCCCAAAATAAGCAGAGAATCAAGATTGCTTCCATCTAACTTTCCACTACCACCATGTGGCTCCTATTTATATTTTCCGTTTGTCTTCCTTCTCATTCTGAAATTGGTTTTCGTGCGCCAGTTGCTCATGATCTGTCCATTTTCTCGTATTCTAATTTGGGTTTTATGTTGCTTGTAAAAATCTAACACTAGCTTGTAATTTCTGATTCGGGTCAATGAGGCAACTTATGGTAACTAAATGTTTCATAAGGGAATCCAATGTCACAAAATCTTTCGAAAAAAGAAAACCCATTTAACAAGAAAAGCTTCCACAGAAGGTTCATACCTCAAGTTGTTCATGCAGCCGCTTCTGGACCTCCATTTGCAGCCGCAATGCCTCTGTAATCTCAATACCTCTGTCATGGGAGTACATCAGGGCATCAGAAAAGTTCAGGCTTCAAATTCAAACATTCTCTCCCTAACACTCCCTCTCTGTTTTAATGATCCACCCAACATTGGGTGGCCAAACTGATGATCCGTAATTTCTTGGACGGCAGAATATAAACAAAGTGAGTGGATAGTTAAAAAGTAAATGACCGAATCAGCTCAAGAAAAAGAAATAAATGTGCCCAAGTAAGGTTACCTGTTCAACCATGCTACCCAAATCTGAGTCTAATTAACTCAGGTGTGTCCCAAGTCAACCCATCTGGTTCAGAATCTAGGAATAATCTAACCATGTGGCAGAGGAACACTTAATGGGTAGTAAAAAGCAGAATCTACCCTTAAACTCCTTATGTATAACATCAATAGCAAAATATGGCTAGCATTAAAACGAGAGAGAGAAAGCTTGTCGCCCAAAGCTTATGCCAGAGTGACAAAAGAAGTCCAACCAAATAAAGCTATGGTGTATCTACAAAAATTGCATGGCGTGTAGGGGATGCTCAAGTATGGGGTGCTGCACTGTATTGACCAAGGATTTCTAATTGGTGCTGCCAGTTAGTGGAGGGGGCAGGGTTGGGGGTTTCAGTCTCTATGCTTTTAGAAGCACTTATTACCTCAATAACAATTTAATCGGAAATAGAGAACAAAATGTTGCACTGCACATGGCTGTAACTTGTACAAGATAAATGTCATACTCTTGCCATCTTTTTCATATCGATTCTTCACAATTATCATCATGTTTCTAAGTTCTTATGACTTTATAGCCATTTTTTCACCAATGTTTTTGTTTATGATTTAAACCGAGCGGCACACAAAAAGAAAGAAGAGGATTATTACCGGTGATATTCATGAGAACACTTACGTTTTGAGGTCCAGAGTTGAAATGTCGTCAAGCCTGGTCATCTTTTTCTCTGCATTGCCTGCATAAATTAGGTCATAAGAGTGCTGTCAGCTAAAGAAGTCCTAACAGTATATGAATGTAATTTGTAAAGAAGAGAAATATATGCACAGGACAAATACCAATGACTCAGGACAATATGAACATATCTTAATTTATGAAGCACGGACATATACGACACATATTGCATGACACGCAAATCATACATCAAACGTCACATTTAACTAGCAGTAGCGCACATTTCTATTATGACTAAAATATCAAAATGGTAAAATTGCATGATGAAAAAATAATCCAGAGATTGGGTCTCCATTGAAATTAGTTGTCCTTAAGATAGGAGAGAATTGCTGTTTATGTGTACATACATCCAAAATATTTAAATTTGGATGAAGACAAAAGTACTCATTAAAGGGATTTCATTTTCCAATCAGCTTCCTTGTTATATATTTCCAATTAAATTACCAATAGAAGTATTTATTTTGAGAAGAGATAGCGATTAAACTGGATTAGGAGGTAGGTCACCCTGTATTCCCACTTTGTAGGCCCCCCCTCAGTATGTACCCTACACTAATGTTTCTCTTTAGGTCTTTCTCTAGTTGAATGCCACATGTCCGTACCCCAAACTGTGGTTTAATACATGTAGAATATAGAGGCCATTTCAGGGAGCACACAATATGTTCAAATAACAATTAATTCCAAGATATAAGTGAAGTGATGTTTTAATGGAGGGAAAAGGGAGCAACACTTTGGGCCTCAGAGTGGGAGTTGAGGTTAAGGCCCAAGGAGTAAGAAAGTAGGCCAAGTGTGACTCCAGAGAACTCTGTTGTTTGGAAGAGCAATGACCAGGTGCCATGAAGTACAAATACTAAGGTTGAGCGGGGAGAAGGCACCGCATGAGACCCTTCTGATGTTGTAGAGAGAGAGAGAGAGCAGATGTTGCATAGAGAGAGAGAGAGAGAGAGAGAAGCAGATACCTAGTTTCATATAAGTCTAGCAGAGGACGCAGTTGAAGCCAGTAAAAAAAGAGAAAGAAAGAATATGGTTTGTACAGGGAGGACATTACTTGAATGGTGGAAAAAAAAGATCAAATTCCTTGGTTAGGGAGCTCCAATAGTAAAAAAAATTCCATACATCAGTGACCAGGAATTTGCTCATCATCAAATATGGCCATTCCATGCGGATATGAAGTTTGTAGGCAGTATCATGTTGATACACTTCATTCTGAAAGGGCGGCATCTTTTTTTAAAAGCTAGAGCTAGAAGAATGGTCGAGGCAGTGCTTGCCATCAAAAGATCAAAGGGTTGATGGGCCTGTCTAAGCTAGAAAACATCAATTCGGTTTAGTGGACTCCATCTTAATGAATGGACAACACAAAAGTTCTGGGCCATAGGTGAAACTCGTCGGATGTAGGTAAGCATCATTAGGGAATCAGTGCTTAAGCGACAACTTACACACGTCTTTGTTATGTACATATTTTTCCCAAGAAATTTGGTTATAAAGAACATAAACATGCAAATAAATAACGGCACGAGGGACTATAACTTGCCTTCTGATATGTCTGGCCTATACCTAGCAGTTCGATACTTCTGCAAATCAAACAAACAACTGTTCAATTAAAAAAAATGTAAAATCAATGATCACTAATATCAATAGTGAAAAATCTAGAAAAAATGCACACACACCTGCAAGTGACTTTTCACATGGTAGATAGTCAAGCCTTCAACTTTCATGAGCTTTAATACACCTTTCGGAGTGGCCCCTGTGGCAATTTATTTTTCTTGTCAGCAAATTAAATAAATGTCATGGAATACACAAGGAACCTATTTGCTCAGATAACAAACTTAACTGATATTTCTCTTTACATAATGATATTCCTTAAAAAGAAAGTTTTTAAATTCATTATAAGCAAAAAAATTGGAAAACCGAGAAAGGAAAAAATAGGAAATGAAAGCACCCACTTTCACTGCCACCAAGCTGGTTAACAGCTTCCACAAAACACTCATGGAGCTCTGGTGTCCATCTCATGCGAGCCTTGTTAGTGCCACCATTTCCAGAGGAAGGAGAAGAGACAGAGCAAAACTCTCCAGAAAGAGCAGGAGCCAGCTGAGGAAGAGGCCCCTGTTGCACCTTGAAATCTGAAGACAGTTTAGGTGTCTGACAAAAAGGCTGCGCAAAGACAAAAAACATTGAACAGAAAATTGCTTTATGATTTACCAATCCCATTTTGGAATATAAGAAACATTGTATATACAGTATATCTTCTTAACAACTTGAAAGATATAAAAAATATCCATAAATGATAAATTAAATACTTAGAAAGTTACAGGAACTGCCCAAAAACTATGCACCATCTTAGATTTATAACTAATCAGATTATAATGGAACTGTTGGATTTCTATATGATTAGATTATATGAACCCCCAATAATTTGATAAAATACATTTTCATATGATTCATACATTTAGAAATGCCTTCACAGGAAGATACACTATTGTCCAGTGGACTATCTAACAAAATAGTCCACTGGGTCATTCCATTTGAATGAAGGTACAAAAAGAGTGGGAGTAAGCACTGGGATCAGATCTCATTCTGATGTGTCCCTCTCCCTCTCTCCATCACTGTCTACAATTGTAATGGACTGTGAGGACCCAATGGACTGGTTTCTGTAGCCCATTAGACTTAAGTATCATTTGCAATTAAAACTTCTAGAAATTTAAAGGAAATTTCTAGGTGTGTGTGGGGTGCCTGGGGGGGGGGACGGGGGGGGGTGTTCACGGTAGGTAGGTAGGTCGGTAGACTTACAAAATTATCAAATTACACAGGAATCATCTACTTATTCAATAAACTTAACTCTATGATTCATGTATCAAGAAAAGTTTAAAATTCACAAACGTTTTCACCCAGGGAGGGACATCCAATACGGTTATGGTCCGACCTCTGGATAGGCCACACCCCTCTCATGGACCTTTTCCCCAACCTCTTCTCGTTGGCCCTAAACAGGCTTTCCTCTGTGGCGGATGAGATGCTATCTTTGGGCTCCCTTAAAATCTGGAACCCTTCTTTCAGGCAGGCTCTCTCTGACCCTGAAACCTCTGAATTTCTTAACATGTCTTCCCTGCTTCATTCGACCTTCTTGGCTTTTTCTGGACCCGACCAACTCCTTTTGGGGGGGGTGTTTTCGGTAGGTAGGTCGGTAGACTTGCAAAATTATCAAATTACACAAGAATCATCTACTCATTCAATAAACTTAACTCTATGATTCATGTATCAAGAAAAGTTTAAAATTCACAAACGTTTTTACCCAGGGAGGGACATCGAATACGGTTCTGGTCCGACCTCTGGATAGGCCACAACCCTCTCATGGACCTTTTCCCCAACCTATTCTCATTGGCCCTAAACAGACTCTCCTCTGTGGCGGATGAGATGCTATCTTTGGGCTCCCTTAGAATCTGGAACCCTTCTTTCAGGCAGCCTCTCTCTGACCCTGAAACCTCTGAATTTCTTAACATGTCTTCCCTGCTTCATTCGACCTTCTTCGCTTTTTCTGGACCCGACCAAATCCTTTGCACTCCTTCACCCTCGGGTTGTTTTTCTGTCGCCTCTTTCTACAAGAAACTTTTGATGCCACCTACTTTCCCTCATTCCCCAAACTCCATTGTCCCCCAGGCTTGGTCCTCTACAGCTCCTCCTAAAGTCCAAGCTTTGGCATGGATCGCCCTTTCTAAGAGGGCCCTTCTGGTGGACCACCTACAGCATAGGGGTGTCCTTATCACCAATCATTGCGCTAGGTGCCTATCGGATAAAAAGAGCAATCTCTTACCTCTCCATCCCGGCATTTTACAAACTCACTCCTGTCACCCCGTGGCCCAAAGCCGGCAGGATACTGTGGAAGGCCTCTGTCACTGCCACGAATTGAGACATCTGAACCGGGAGGAACCCGAGAATTTTTCAAGGAGCCAAAAGTGAGGTTCCGGCCCTCTTCCACAAAATAACTGCCCCATTCATCTTCTAGGCTACAATCACAAGAGCTTCACAGGAAACTCCTCTGTGACCTTCCTTCATCATTGGAAAACTCTCCTCAGCACCCACACCCCACGCTGCTCCCGCTCGAACTCTTGGTCCCCTCCCCCTCTAGGGCAGACCAAATTGAACTTCGATGGGTGCTCGCTCGGTAATCCTGACCCGGCAGGGGTGCGTGGTGTGTTCCGAGACCATAGCGGCCAAATCCTCGCTTCTTTTTCCCGGAATATTGGGCACACCGACTCACAACTAGCTGAGTCCATGGGCCTCCTTTCCGGCCTTAAGCTTTTTAAGCCCTCTTGCCCCTGATCATCGAAGGAGATGCTGAAAACATCATTACTTGGACCTCAGGCTCCACACCTTGCCCTAGTTCCTAACGATTTTTGACGATATTACTCATATTTGCAGGGTTATGGCCGTCTCATGGAGGTATACCTGGAGGGAATCCAAGGCCCTCGCAGACCATCTGGCTAAAGACAGAGCGCTTTCCAGCACCACTTCACCTTGAGTGCTTTGGTTTTTTGTACTTATGTAATTTTGTTTATTATGCTTGGGCCATCTGCTCACTATAATCCCATTTTTTGTCTAGGGCTACCATCCTTGGTAAGCAATTTTTTTGGCAAGAGGCCCGGTCTGTGGGTTTTCTCTTTGCTTCTTCGTACTTACTTCTTTTCAATACAACAATTAACACTTACAAAAGAAAAAAAACAATCCATACCATAAAGTCTCCATATGAAAGTAACACTACTAATAAAAAAACTCAAAAAAGAAAGCAACATACCTTGGGTTGCGGATCAGCAGCATTGGTATCAAGAAGAAGATCACTCCAACCAGCAGGCAAAGTTTCATCATCACCAATTAACTGATCTGTCCATGCTCCCCAGTCAGTTCTCCTGGTTTGATCATCCCCATCCATACCATTATGTTGGCTAGATTCACCAACATTGTCAGGAAAATCAAGAAAACCTTGAAGTGGGTCAGAAGACCAGGAGACATCATTGCTTTCTTTTGTAAAGTCAGAAGCCACTGGCTGAAATATATCCCCTGATTGGGATGAATGTAATAAAGAAAGTGAAGTGGAATTACTTGATGCTTGAGAGATAAAGTTACTTGATTCTTGAGAGATGAAGTTACTTGATGCTTGAGAGATAAACGGGGATGATGAAGAATGTCCTTGACGTTGTGAAATGGAAGAAGAGAAATGGAGATCATTAGAAAATGCTGAACCGGTCGAAAAAATAGGGCCCACAACACCATTGTTAGAGGCCACGGGGCCGGTAAGTGGGCCGACAGTACTGGGTCTCAGTTCTTTTCCCATGCCAGCTTGTTGGGTACTTGGAAATTTAGGTTGACGATCCTCCAATGGTGCTGACAAACATGGTAAAGATGAAGAAGGACCTTGCGGCATTCCCAGAGAAGAATTATGCTGCATTGTGTTAGAACTTCGTATGGAGAAAGCAGGACGCACTTCCATTTCTTTTTCCATGCATGGTTCAGGTCTCCTATGTTAGTAATTCTTGGATCTCTGATATCTTGATTTTACAGCAGAAACCATTTTAAGATGCTTTGCTCTCACAACCTGGAGAAAAATTATGGCAAGAAAATGCAAATCAATGCCCAATGCTTAATCAAACAAGTTAAGATTAGAAAGACAGAAGCATTAATCAGTGGAAATTTGATTACATTTCATTAACTATGCAAACTTATAAAAGCCCAATTGAATGAGTTGACAAGGAGAGAAAGTGGAAGGAGGAGGCGGCAGCACATTCCAAGGTTACTTCAATAAAGAAAAGAAAAAAGGAAAATTACTTTCCAACCATTTGCACCCATACCCCAGCTATCACGATAACAACTCAAACTGACAGCAGAAATGCAGATGCATAGGCATTCAAATAATATTTGTGCATGCATGGAGAGAAGCAAACAACTTAGCTGATTCACCAGGTAAAAAGCGAATACATAGACAAGAGCTGTTTATAGCGCCATTCCTCGTATAGTCCATTTTTGCTATTTTTGGCCATTCAAGTATAACAACAACAATCCCAACAATTTTGCATTGGATACATCTCAGGCTCCAATAATTTATGGTATTAATAGAAAACAAAAAAAAAGGGACAAGTTGCAAGAGGAGATGGGGAAGATTACTTATAAAGCATGCACTCATCAAACAAGTACGTCAATGTCAAGCCAATTGGAGCTTTCTAAATAACTAATGCTTGTCTTCTTTATATTTCAAAATAACTCAAGGTAAACTAAGATTTCAAAGTAGTTAATTTCCATGCTCATGCTCTTAAATCTCAAACTAAGATATGCTCAAGCAAACGTCCTCAAGTCGTAAACTTTTATAGTAATATTGCCTGCTACAAGTTACACTCACACGACGGCCATGAGTTAAGCAAGCTAACACCACAAACATCAGAGCAAAGCATCATGGACAGGATATAGCACTACATCCTTCTAATATCACCCAATGTGCCTCATTAGGGTTAACCTCGTTAGTGTATTGCCACACATGACCTCATGCATTGTTTCCTCAATCCTCTAATAAGAACCAAAGAAGTCAGCCTTAGAGTGCTTAAATATCATAAAGCTTGACATATTTATGATTCATCAAATTTAATTGAAAAAATCATAGAAATAGCGTCTGAGGGGAAGTTTTGTATCATATAATACTGACAAGAAAGAAATATCACAACAAACGAAAGAAGAAAGTTGTGTATCATATAATACTGACAACAAAGAATTAATACAATGAACAAAAGAAGAAACAATTTACAGAGGGAAAAACACCATAAAAGACTCCCTAGCTACAAACAGATCAACTATGCTATATGCAACCAAGGTACATCGACAATAGTAAACACTGACAGAATGTAGAAATGGTGAAAAAAAACTGCACAAGACAATGAGCCTTATAATCACCTGAATCCCACCTTATGGTATTAAGAGCCACCATCAATGACAATTCACTCAAAAAAGTCCCGAGAGTATTTGCACCTAACCAAGATGGCTCACTGCCATCCCAATCGAGTCCATAGTGCCAAATATCCTAGCATACCATCTAATGATATACTCCAACACATTACAACAAACCCTTGAAACCATCTAACTATGCTTTAAGTTAGCACTCCAAGAAATTAGAGCAATTAAAAACCCCACCCCCCACAAAAAAGGCGAAGCAGGTCCTAAGTCAAAAGGGCACATATAAAACTCCTGGTATACTCAGCTATAACACGTTCATGTCACATGGTATCAACCCCTCCAGTAAGCCTTTGAGTCAACTAACCATATCTTCCTAAAATGCGGTTATTTAGCTCCGGATATATCCTGTAAGCTTTAACCATATCTCCCTAAAATGCAATTATTTAGCTCCTTATATATCCTGTAAACTAAAGTAGCAACACACATCTAGCGTATTAACAACTCCCTCTATTTTCATATCACGTGAAAGTAACCTTATACAGTTACACCATATTACAACAGAATCAAACATTGCCCCATTTAACCTCAAAAAGATCAAAAAATTTTCCTCCCATGAATTAGCAAGTGATCCACTAAAGTATTCCTCCCCAACAAAATACACAAGCTTAGCAAGTATTCCTCCCCAACAAAATACACAAGCTTAGTAAGTATTCCTCCCCAACAAAATACAACAGCTTGACAAGCCATGCAAATTAAGTTTAGATATATTCAATAATCAGTTGCCAAAGTTTTACCACAATAAGGGAGTCAATGAGAAGATTGTAGATCAAGCCTCTTTCCAAACCCTTCAGAAGTAAAACCTTACCCACATTACCAAAATTCCAACCAAGAAGTTACACATAAGTGTCCCCAAGCTATGTGAGGGACTCCAATACCTTAACCTCAATCTACATCAAAAAAGAAAATTCAAAGGACTAATGCTTCATTCAATTAACCATGTTAGTAGTGCACACCACAAATTCAACACAAGCACTTCCCACAGCTCAAGATACTTGTGCCTTTTTTTTGAGGAATCAGCCTCAAGAAACTTGTAGTCGACGCTTTTTATGACAACTCTGCTTGATATTGTTTCTAATATTATACTGGCCAAAAATAAGTATATATGCATTGCCTTTATTTTCCAACTTTAAATGTGATTTTTTTATTTGTTATATTTATTAAAAAATATACAATTTATTGCACAAACATTAGAACTAACCTGTGAGTTTTCTTCTTCTTTTAGTTTGGTAAAAGTTGTTTTAATTGTCACATCTAAATTCCAAATTCGAGCCAAACATGAATATCATGTCATTCCCAGCACAATTATTTATTTTTATTTTTTTGGGAATCTATATTTCCAGCACAATGTTGACTCCTGGAAAATGATCCTCTAGTGAATCAACACATTATTTCTCCCCAAAAGCTACAATTCCATCTCCATCAAAGGAGGAGAATCCTATATGATTATAATTAATCGTACGTAGTTCTAAACCCTTCTGGACAGCTGGCCACTTCACAATCTACTCCTCCCATCTTAACTCTCCAATACTTGCTCTACATACTACTACATCATCAACTTAGTTTGAGATGCATGTACGTAGAACATCTTGGGCACATGCTGTCATGACTGCCACTCTTCAATACCTCCATCCAACTCTAGGATATGCTCTATAACCTCGACGGTGGAAGCCCATCAACATACTTAGACCTTCTACTTAAAGACCTCCAAATTTAGTAGGCATACAAACATCTTGCCCCCGACAATATTGATACACTCACTCAAGCAGTCCCAAGTCTATAAAGAGACTTTGGAATATCCAAATCCCTACTAAATTAGGCATTCTAAAGTGAGATAAGGACAAAAAAAATATAAAATTTTGGCAAACCAGATTTTATACTAATCTTTTCCCCAACGACAAAATTGTTTTTCAAGAGGTATTTGACTAAACCAAAAAGCTAACAACCTCCACATTCACTCTTTACCCATCTTTCTCCATATCCATAACTTTGGTTTTTCGTGAGTTTAACTTTTTTGCTGAAGCTTTTCCAATGCATTACAAATTCTGTATGGGTTATATAATCTTTTTTTTTTTAGGGGGGGGTTGGGGTTTGGGGGGGATTGGTTCAGGCTAACTCTTCTCACCACATCGAAAAACCTTCGTTCCTTCTACTTTCCTTTTGGGACTCCATAAGATCTCATAAAGCCATTGTATATACAAAGAATACCATTTTGTAGATAAATCCTTCCACCTTATTTTCTCATTCAGGTAAACTTTACAGTTTTCAATGTAGAATCATAAATACAGTTCATTAACAAGCGTGAGTAAGTAATGAAGAATCATTAATTGGTGAAACTCACAATGATGAAAGAATATACAACAGAGAACTGAATAAGTTTATTTCTATTTAATAGTTAGCCCAAGTTTATTACCATTAGGAGTTCATCAATTCCTGATTGGGAGAGATCATGCTTTCTAAGGAAACACATCAAACTACTTCAGCAACAGAAAAGTTATTATACATGACAATTAAATGATGTTAATACTGGGAAATGCTGAAAGAAAACAGAAGATTAAGGGTAAAGCAACAGAAGCTAGAGGATTCTTTTTTTTCTTTCAGAACCCATAATTAATAATACCATGCACTTCCTATCACAAGCATTTTTTAAGAAAAGAATGTTGCAGATTTTATATAATCTCGCCGCCAAACTGCAAAAATCAGTTCTGAGATATAAACAATATATGAGAGAGAGAGCGAGAGAGATAAGCCCATCCTGGGAAATAGTATGCAGAGAGAGAGAGAGAGAGAGAGAGAGAGAGAGAGAGAGAGAGAGAGAGAAAGAGAAGAACAAGAAGTAGAACGTAGTTACAGTAACGAAAACACAGTAGAGTAACTTATTACTATACGTACCAACAAGAAATACGACGAACTAAATGTGAGTCTAGTT